TAATATCTCAACTCTGGCGCATCCTTAGCGAGACATCGAAAATCAGTTCCCCTGGGCGCCGTAGTCTAGTATAGACGACACGCTGATGACGTCATAAGCGATTAGCGGAAAAATTAGTGCAGTGCAATATGAACGATTCCTCAGCCCTCAGAACTCATTCGGATTTTGGAAAGCGTCGACGATGATGACTTTTCGGAATCTGAATCATTACCTGAAGATTTAAGTGAGGTAAGTGTCTTAAGTTCCTAATAAATTAAACTTATTTTACTACATGCATATTGCCTATTTTATGTATCTATTATTTTATAATATTTTGTTTAATTTTAAATATAATAAGTTCGATACATAATGGAACTGTTTCCCGGGCGACTCTTGTGAGCACATTTTTTATGTTTTTGTTTTCGAGTTTACAATAACTCATCTTGTTCGTTTACTTTTATACTGCAACTAGTAGATATTTTTTCTGTCAAAAAGCGAATGGTAATATTGTTTAGCGAAATAAATATCTTAAGCCATATTTCACCATAATCCTTCATAAAAAGTAAGTACCGTGAGTAGACCATAAATCATAAATCAACGTAATGAAAAAGCATTAAGGTCCAAAATAGTATATCGACTTTCTACCTTTCGGCATTACAATCGTTTCGAGTAGTATTGTGAGTAGACTAAAAATCAATGTAATGGTAAAACATTAAGATCTAAAATAGCGTGTCGACTTAGTACTAAATTGCTCTTTTGTTCTCGGCTGCGACGTTCTTTTTTTTGTTACTAACACTTTCGCGTCTTACAGTATAGCCGTACAAAAGTTACCTACCTAAATAAATAAAAAATTGAAAATATCCAAGTAGAAATAAATATATGCACATAATTTAGTACTTATATGTTTTTAGTGACAGTTTCAATAAAGGAAAAATATGTATTATACAATCCGTACCTGCTTAGCGATTTTATGAGTTGTTTTCTATTATTTTAATAATTTGATACATAATGTAGCGGCGTTTCATAATAGGCACATTAAAATTATCATGAAACCAAAGTTTTTCATTTTCGATTAACTCTACCTCAATGAGGTAGGAATACACTTTATAGTTTTTTACGGTTAATTTCTTTTTTATAGCATAGGGTAATAAACGAGCACGCAGTCCACCTGATGGTAAGTGGTTGCTGTGGCCCATAGACATTTACATCTATCCTCGATTACGAATCAAAATGCAGATGCGCTCTCATCCGTGAGGACTTAGATGGAATGCCTAGTTTCCAGTAAAGAGGGTCTCCGGTTCTCTACACTTGCCATACGAAATACAGCAGCATTAAGCTACTATTTGACGCCGGTATTCCGTGAGAGCGTGGTTCTTCCCCGGTTGAGCCGACCCATTCGTGCTACAACTACTCTCTCGTAATATAACTGCAGCATGGCTCTACCACGTTAGAAAATTTGCTTTGGACAGCTAAACATTTGTTTTATTATTCCATAAGATTTTTATTATTTTAAGACTAATATTACCTATAATTTATTAATTATTTTTAATTGTTGTTTTCTATATTAAGTACTGATTGAGTTAAAGACCAAGATTTTAATATTTTAAGACTAGACCTAGGGTAAATAATTATTTAAAATTGTTGATTAATGAATAATTATGTACCATTTGTTGATTTCTGTAATAAGTACTGATTTTTTATTCCTTGACCAAGATTTTAATATTATAAGACTGATTTTTCTAGTGCGAATAATTATATACATTTGTTGATTGGTCGATAATTATGTACCATTTGTTGATTTTTATAATAATTACTGATTTTTTATTCCATGACCAATATTTTAATATTATAAGACTGATTTTTCTAGTGCGAATAATTACCTATATACAATTGTTGATTAGTGAATAATTATGTACCTTTTTTATTTTAATAATATATAATTACAAATAATAAATGTGTTTTCTTTACTTAAGGTATGAAGAGCAATTTTTCATTTTGTGTTGTGCGATTTTCTTTCTCAATCCAAAATCATTTAGCAACATCAGCATCATATGAAACCCCCATTGTCATAAGAGCGTAAGACTTTTCTTCTGTGATTCACTTGGCCTACGCCTCGCCATAAAATATTTAGAATCGATGTCTGTATATTTTGGTTAGATCGATTTTGAAATCGATACACAACGTGCGACACGGCTACATCTCTAAGAAAGTTTCAAAAAGAAAGGATCACGATGGAGAGTAGTGTTGTGGTTTACTACTATTTTATTGTTATTGTTTCTTTTTTATTTATGTACAAAGTACATATATAAAAAGAGTGGAAGACAGCACAAGATTAAATAAAACATACCCGATTATAAAGAGTCATTTATTGTATAAAAAACCAACAAAAACAAATTTTGTGTTATCGATGTATCAACTCTTGGCAGCACTGTTTTTTTCGTAGGTATTTTTGTTTACTTTTCGCTTTGGCGTACAGGACACGGTAGTGAGTTTTTGGCGTGGCGCTCAAAAGGTTAAGCGTCGTTGATCTTCCAGGAGTCTCACACCAAGATATAACTAATTAACTGTAGTTGTCGCAGTAATAGACGCTTTTAGTCTGAGCTTTAGCTTTTAGACGTTTTACAATTAGAAAAAAAGGCAATATAATAATACGTTAAGAATAAATATATCCATTTATCTTTAATAACCGGATCTTTTGGAAACTTGTAATAAAATCTTTGTATTAAATAAACAGATGTATAAATAAAATGAATACAACATTATACAAACAGCAAACGAATAAATATATGTATGGGTGACATATTTATCATTTTTATCAGTTTTAAAGATCTGTAACTGACTTTCTGTTGTTTGCTACTTTTCAGTTTCCCGACTTCTTACAGATCGAGATAAGACGACGACTATTACTTACTATTCTTACAATATAATTACTTATCCTTACAATATAAGTTATTAAAATTTATCATGTAATTTAAAAGTACAAACAAACAGATAATTGCCTATAAACGGTTTAGCAAGAAAAAAGTAGAAAGGTGTAAATAAATAATTAACGAAAAATCACATTTAATTCCCGTTTCGTTAAAACTAGGTAAGCCAAACATAATAAATTATCGATACAAAATAGTTGTGTCTCGTAACTGACTCGCATTAGACTCCTGCGGCCATGTTCCAGGTGTACGCAACAATTTTGTTTATTGCCCATACTATAAATCCATCGCTGATTTTAGCTATCGTAGGTACTCGTAGACATGAACTAGCTTAGGAATCAATGGATATTGCAGTGTGAAAACAATTAAAATTTCGAAGACAATCGTAGTACTGGTGGATAATTTTATTTAAATACTTATATTTCATTAAATACAACATTGTTTAAAACACTAAGTATTTATTTATGAAATGTTATCCCTTTATTTGAAAATTTGCAAGTTATGGAAGAATTTTCGCATTAGGATATGCTTCAAAACACCATTTTTACGTCTCAGCGTTCGAAACAGTAGTGGTGACCGGAACAAACGCTCCTCGCGCGCTTGTGGCCTACGAGTCACATGTGTGCGGCGACGAGATCACGCGCTTTTACGACTTCTATTTATATTTAGATTTCTGTGGTCTTGACCTTTCGGTGATGTCACTTAGACTAAATAACAAAATCGGAGATATATCCTATAGGACAAAAGTTACAGACGACAATTTTGTTTCTGATTACTAACACATACTAAAATGTCTTTGTCGAAAAGTATTTTTTTTAATATAAATGACACCACATGTTAATTAAACGCGTGTGAAGCCGGGGTGGGTTGCTAGTAATATTATAAATGTGAACAATAAAACGAAGCAGGTGATTTTATTTTAATCATGTTTATGTTCTGGAGGTGAGAGAAATTCTCGTGATTTCAGTTCGAGTCATTCGAGGTTCATTATAACTAATAAAACGAGGCAAACTTGGCACACCGAGTACTACTCTTCGTGGAGTTCCAGTAGCATTTACTGAAGCACACCTTCAGGTCATTCTGTCAAGTCCGGAGGTAAGGTCTCATCATAAATAACGAACGATGCTGAACTCGGCACACCTAGTTCTACTCTTAAAGGAGTTCTAGTAGCATTCACCAAAGTACACTTTCAGGTCACTCTATCAAGTCTAGAGGCAGAGGCGGATTAAATGTCGACAGCGCTCTAGGCTAGCCTAGCACCTTATTGGCGCCCCTCGAGTGGCCATATTATATCCAAAATTAAAACTACTCATTTTGCAAATAAACTATATTATAATTTATAATAAAGTTTAATAATTGCGAAATAATTATGATACGAGTACCTTTAACAGGTGGTCATAAATCAAAAATGTGATGAGAGGGTAAGCGATTTAGGAGTAATCAAATTCAGCGAGTTTTTTTATGTTTAAAAACTTCCGTGCTCGCCCCTTCTAACTTCACACTCCTAGGTACATTTATAGTTTGCCTTAAGGATAATCCGCCACGGTACGGTCTCACCATAACTAACAAAACGAGCCCAAACTCAGCACACCTATTACTATTACTACTCTTCGAGGAATTCCAGTTGCATTTACTGAAGTACACCATCAGGTCACTACGTCAAGTTCTTCCAGTAGCAGATACCGAAGTACACCTTCAGTTCACTCCACAAAGTTCAAGACGTATAAGTTTATTTACATATAAATCCTACGTACTTTTAGCGAAACAATATATTCTTATAAAAACTGTGATTATAAAAATAATAATAATAATAAGAAACAGTCAGTTTGCGACGTGTTTTATGCACGCTTGACCAAAGTGCTTAACAGCCTTTTGTCCGGTGTGAATAAGTCACACGCATATAACTGCTGGGTCATGCCTGTCCTCATGTATACCTTTGGCATACTCAGGTGGACTCAGACTGAGCTTAACGCCCTGGATAGAAAAGTCCGCACTACCATGACGTCCCATAGGATGCATCATCCGAGATCGTCGGTAATGAGGCTGTACTTGCCGCGAAAGTATGGTGAGTGTGGCTTTCTGAGCGCGCTCACCATGCATAATCGCGAAGTGTGCAGTCTCCGTCAATACTTCTTGGCGAGATCGGATGATCCATTCTATAATGACGTCATTTCTAGTGATAAAGAGCTTACCCCTCTATCCTTAGCCAACGAGCAATGGCAGGACCCAGCAGTGCTTAGCATTTCCGACCGGGAGACCGTATGGAAGGAGAAGGAGCTCCACGGGAGGTACTACAAGGCTTTACATGAGCCCTTCGTAGATACAGTCGCCTCCCTCAACTGGCTACGTTTCGGTGACCTCTTCGGGGAAACCGAGGGTTTTGTCTGTGCAATACAGGATCAGGTTATTAAGACCAACAACTATCGGAGATACATCCTAAAGGATGGCACCGTCGACGTCTGTCGAGCTTGTCGCCATCCCGGGGGAGTCACTCAGGCATGTCATCTCCGGTTGTTCGGCGCTTTCTAACTCTGAGTACTTGCACAGGCACAACATAGTAGCCAGAATTCTACACCAGGAGCCCGCTCTGAAATACGGTCTCGTGTACCGGAAATTGCCGTATTACAAGTACTTGCCGGAAGCCGTGCTCGAAAATGACCGCGCCAGGCTCTACTGGGACCGGGCCATCATCACAGACAGGACTATTCTTGTGAATAAGCCTGATATTGTGCTGATGGACCGGGCACAGTCAAGGATATTTTTGGTCGACATTACCATCCCGTATGACGCGAACCTCGTGAGAGCCGAAACAGATAAGCAATCAAAATATCTGGACCTGGCTCACGAGGTGACCGACATGTGGGGTGGTCTGCCGACCGAAATTATTCCTGTAGTCGTCTTTGCGAATGGGCTAATCCCAGTTAGCCTCTCTGGTCATCTGAGGCGACTGGGACTCCGTGACGGACCGCTCCGGGCTCAAATGCAGAAGGCGGTGCTCCTTGATACTGCCCGCATCGTCCGCCGGTTTCTTTCCCTTTCACCCTAACCCTTGGCCGTTTGGTCTCCCCTGCCGAGGGCTTCCATTTGGTTGGACTTTTACTTATTTATGTATTTTCGTATTTATTATGTTTTATTGATATTTATGTATATTTATCTTTTCATTTTCGTTTGTAATTATATATTTATACATCCCAACCAGATGAGAAAACTATATAGATACCCCACACATAATAATAATATCTTACCTTGGTCAAGTATGTATCAAATTTGGTTTTTGGAATATTGTGTATTTCTTCTACAGCAATCGATATTTTTCATCACGAGGCGCTGTAGACAAACGACGAATATAAACCACTCCTGACGGCGGCCGAGCCAAAGACTCAAAGTATATTTAGTAAAATAGATTATTACAAGGCTGCTCAAAACATCGAAAATTCGGAAATGTTATTCTGTCATTTACATTCCATGCCTTTAGGTATACATGACAGATGAAGAGATTTAAAAAGAAATTGAGTTGAACAATTGATATTTTCAAAAGTTATCGTGTTTACCACTCCATGCGGGTGTGATAAATCTACACTATAAGCCACTAAAACTACATTTTTAAAGTAAATATATAAAACATAAACACTCACGCCTGTCACCCAGAGGGGTAGGCAGAGACTACAGACTTCCATTTAGCACGATCCTGACCTTTCTCGCCTCTTCCACATCCAACCATTTTTGGTATATCGCCAATTTGGTCGGCAAACTTCCGCCTAGGACGTCCATTTCCGACTCTTCCATTCACTTCTGCAACATATATTTGCTTTGTCAGTCTTTCCGCATTCATTCTTTCTACATGACCAAACCACCGAAGCATTCCTTTCTTAATCCTGGTCACCGCATCATCTTGCAAACCACACTCTTCTTTTATCACACAGTTTCTCACCCTGTCACTCAGATTCGGCCCTAACATACTCCTTAGCGACCGCATTTCTACTGCATTTATTCTACTCTCGTGCTTCTTCTGCCACACCCAACTTTCACCACCATACGTTAAAGTAGGGGCCAATACAGCACTGTGAATTACCATACGTGCCTTTTTTGACACATTCTGACTTTTCACAATAGAGTGTAGAGCCCCATTTACTTTATTTCCTGCATTCACTCGTCGTTCAATATCCTTATCATATCTCCCATCCCTGCTGAATACACATCCCAAATATACGAACTCCACTTGCTCAATTAACTCTCCTTCTATTCTTATTTCACATACCGTTTTGCTTTCATCTCTTTCAAAAACCATCACTTTCGTCTTACTTGCGTTCACTTTCATTTCCCTTTCTTTTAATGACCTGTTCATTAATGTAACCATCATTTGCAACTCGGCCGCCGACGACGCAAGTATGACTTGATCATCGGCGTACAAAAGGCATTTGATGGTTAACTCACCCATTCTTAACCCGCATTCTTCAACTTTCAAATTTTCCAAACAGCTGTCCATAAATAGGTTGAACAGCCACGGGGAAGCTACACAGCCCTGTCTGACACCTTTATGGATGCCAAACCAGTCCGAGTAGACCCCGTTGATTCTAACACAAGCACTCGAGTCCCTATACAGAGACTTTAATGCCTGTATCAAACCAGCGCTCAACCTAAATGCGTTCAGCGTTTGCCATAACACAAATCCCTGTCCACTCTGTCATAAGCTTTCATTCTCATCATTCTTACCGCCAGAATTACCAGCTTTGGTCGCTAGTAAATCTAGTCATGCTCTCTTCTTTGCTTCAACTTCCATACGTACCTCATCATCCCGCCATAACGTATTGTCTTTCCTTTCATTCGTTCTCTTACTAACACCACATACTTCGGTAGCTGCATCCACTAAACCTTTCTTAACATTATGCCACACATTCTCCAAGTCTAACCCATTCACACACAACTCATCCAAATTACTTATATTTTCTCTCAGTCTACATTTGTACTTGTCCTTCACATCTTCATCTTAAACCTTAACTTAAACCTCTCAATTCTTATACGCTGTAACGCAGTGGTAGACACAGATGTCCTATGATTTTAAAGTAAAAACAGCAATTAATCGATTAAAATAAAAATTAATAAGTGCAACAATTATTTATCTTTCTAACAATGTGCTTTTTATATAATTTATATATCCAATATGATTGTTAGATACGATTTCATGCGACAAAACGTTGGATTCTTGATTTTTGGCGCTAGTAGAACATGCCTACGCGCTTTGCGCTTAAGGCATGCAATAATCTAACAGCCTTGGCACTAGTGAGGTTTCTAATCTTTTTTACATCATATGCTGCAGTGCTTAGTCTGCTTGTTAATTTTGATGAATGATTAATTTTGATGAATCTTTGCGTCAGCAGTTGTTCTAAGAAAAGCAGTAAAATCGACAGAACTTAATTCTTTCCCATTAAAAACATATTGTATTCAGATTTTTAAATTTGCTGTAGTGTGTGTACCTATAATAAAACTAATTGTATAAATTTGATGTAGTGTGTGTACCTATAATAAAACTAATTGTATAAATTTGCTGTAGTGTCTGTACCTATAATAAAACTAATTGTATAAATTTGCTGTAGTGTCTGTACCTATAATAAAACTAATTGTATAAATTTGCTGTAGTGTGTGTATCTATAATAAAACTAATTGTATAAATTTGCTGTAGTGTGTGTACCTATAATAAAACTAATTGTATAAATTTGCTGTAGTGTGTGTACCCATAATAAAACTAAGCTGTAGTGTGTGTACCTATAACAAAACTAATTGTATAAATTTGCTGTAGTGTGTGTATCTATAATAAAACTAATTGTATAAATTTGCTGTAGTGTGTGTACCTATAATAAAACTAATTGTATAAATTTGATGTAGTGTGTGTACCTATAATAAAACTAATTGTATAAATTTGCTGTAGTGTGTGTATCCATAATAAAACTAATTTATAAATTGCTGTAGTGTGTGTACCTATAATAAAACTAATTGTATAAATTTGCTGTAGTGTGTGTACCTATAATAAAACTAATTGTATAAATTTGCTGTAGTGTGTGTACCTATAATAAAACTAATTGTATAAATTTGCTGTAGTGTGTGTACCTATAACAAAACTAATTGTATACATTTTTATTAACGTTAACCCAATGCACTAATTTTTATATAGCATTATCCACCTCGTCGTATTTAACTGACTGCCGTTTAAGTTTTCAATCAATTATAAGATTATTCTCTACAAGGGAACGTAAATCATTAATGTGGACTAGTATGGGAATGGGCCGAGAATTGAGCGGCTCAAAATTACTTAGGTATACTTACATTAGTTTATGAACTTAGTTAATAAGGTCAATTAAAAACTCAAAATAATTACAAAAATATAGGTATACTTAGGTAAATTTACATTAGTTTAAGAACTTAGTTGCTAAGGTATAAGAAAAAGGTTTATTATTTTTTTTGCTTTTCAATTTTTAGTTTGACATATCTCTTTCGATCGACAATCAAAAGAGATATGTCCACTTTAAAATTTGTGACAGTTTTAAAGTGACAGACAAATTGACAATTGCAGTAGCAGATGTGAGCATCTTGACCATGATCTGGATATTTTTTAGTCTGTCGTCAAACGAGAGTTTCATACCGCTAACTCATATTATCATCAGCATAGTCATCTCTTACGACACCCTAGGGCTAGGGTGACTACGAATGCATGTGGACACGCCGTCGCCACACGGCACAATGGGATATATAGGTAGGGTAAATAAATAGAAGGCAATAAGTTATCGTATTGATTTATTTTTAATAAAAAGACAATATGAGCTGCGACATAGCGTGGGCGCCAGTGGCGAAGGGCGAGGGCTCCCGCGCGATAGACTTTGAAAACGTTAACAACACATCAACAATGGATATGTGTGTGCCGCGGAACTACGTGGCTCCAGTTCCGCTAAACAGATAATAAACTGTTTGTTAAAATGTATACACTTTAGTAACAAAACGCGACTGCGCGCGGTCGCTCCAATTAATATCGTGCGCGAATAATTTATCTGTACTTGGTACTTATACAAAATATTCTTCGAGTGTATCATAAATATAAGTCAAATTGTATTTCGGAGCGTAAAAAATTATCGTAGTTTATAACTGTATACACATACATATATCTGATGCAATAGTAAGAAGGTATTTGGTCGTTTGAGTTATGTTTTTACAATTAAATTCGAAATAAACAGTGTTATATAGTATTGCTTTTAAATGTGAAGTACACTAGTGAATTCTTAATAAATATGTTTAACGATAATTCCTAGATATAAATGTTAGCGAGTCTAATGAGTCCGGCGCTCGCTCGGCCGTCCAAGTGCCAAGCGTTGCTTTAGCTCACCCTCCTATTCACAGTTAACATCGACAACTAGTACTTTAGAAATGAAACATTAGCTTTGGTTGTCATTCATCTAAAACTAACTAATAAACTAAGCCTAGGTGCCGACGCAGTCAATTTAAGAAATTTTCCAGCGGGGTTTCATTAATCCAAAGGAGTATTCTGTTCACCTTGTTCAAATTATTTTGTGCATCAATCTAACACATGTTACAATTGCTATCGTACAAACCATTTAGATGAATGAAAAATGAGTTCTGATCTCTGTCTTTATTTATATAGTCGTTGTCGTGTGAGAGAATCCATTGCGTCATGTCTGTCCGTGCGTCGTACGAGGTGACAGAAGGAAATAAAACAAGTGAGCAGCGCCAATTTCCTGACATCAATTTAAAATAATAAAAAACTGCGGTTGCCAACCCACTGCCATGAGTGCCAACTATGCCAACTATGCCAAACTTTCCTCTAAGAGGCCTATGTTAAGTTGCGCGCTTTTGATAGGCTGTTATGGTAATAATATAATCGTTGGTGTTTTTGTTAGTGATCATGTGTGCGTGAAATTCTGAATGACTAAGGTTGAGGTCATGTTTTGTTGAAGCAGTTCATATGGTTCATGGCTATGATTGGTTCCGATACCTGCCGCTTTAGTCAAGTTTTTAACAAATATAGAAATATTTATGTACTAATAATGCCCTCCAAACCGAATTTCGGCCACGGCGGCCTGTCTCAACAGAGGCTAGCAATCGGCGCAGGACAGGATTATAGCGCCCAAGTGTATGCGCAAGCACAGGTGTACTCTCAAAATCCGATGGGACGGTAAACCGACACGACCGGAGAGAGATCAGGCGCAGGACCAACGGCTTTACGTGCTTTCCGAGGCACGGGGGTGAGACACCGCCAACTTTCTGACTCCGGGTAACTACTGAGAATTTCGTGACGGAATAACTCAAAAATTAATTTTTTGGTCCGACCCGGGATTGGAACCCAAGACCTCATGATCAGCAGTCGCACTACTATAACCACTAGACCAACGAGGCAGTCATTTATGTACTAATAATGTATTTTTAAATCATGCCCAGAAGGGATTCACAAATGAAGATCCGGTAAGTGGCGCTACGGTTGAGTCATTAATCTAATTTTATATTTACACTGTAAGAATTTATCGCGCCACCTTACCTAAAGGATAGAACGAAGTCTGCCGTGTCAGCTAGTAGTGCATATTATAATAAAATATTATTTGTAACAGTCTGATCAGTTCATTGACGCTGTTTAACGTTTATTACCATGAGTTATCAAGAGTGAATAAGCTTATTAGTTACGTTTATTAAATTATAAAAATATTACAGGCCGATTTAGGCTACAGCTCCTCCCAACTGGACTTAGGTGGATATTTTACAATTACTTAAACATTTGCATCCTACTGTAAGAAGCCGCATCAGAAATGAAATATGCAGAGTGGGTGGCACGAGCGAGCAGCCGAGCGAGTCAGTCGTGACGTCATATTCGTTAGAAGCTATTTATTGCATAGCAACGCTATTTATCGCCGCGACAGATGTAACGCAACAGTGAGTGGCGGTGCTTTAAGCGATCGCGGCGTAATGCTCCACACTCTACCTAACCAATATATACAAGGAGCGGCGGGCTCCGCAACTACAGTCACAACGTACGGGACGCACGACGACACCGACAGTCGACCCTAGCGTCAGCGTATTGACAGAGAAACTAGTTGTGCAAATCAGTGCGGCGGTACACGTTGCGACTCTTGGTCTCTACTACAGGCTGGACGTGTGGTGTCGTCGCTTATCCTCAACGTCAACGTGTCATTTACAGGGGTCGGCGTGATGTGTATCCGTTGGGCGGGCGTATAGTGTGGCGCGGGGCGGGCGGGGCGCGCGGGGCGGAGCGGCCTCGCCCGCTGCGCGCTACAGTGGGCCCCCTCCCGGCCCACTCGAAGCCTCGCCGGGCGACGTCGGCGTCGGCACTTGCGGCGCTGCACCTTTACTTCGCGCCTGCAAAATTGTGTCCAATATCCATTTTAAAACACATTATTATGCATTACGTTCACCTATTCTAACCCTTTGATTGAGGTATCTTAAAAAAATATTTAACAGTAGGTTGTATGGTCAGGTTGGTCTGGGGTATTTTCCGAATTGAAGGGAACGGTCAAGCAGTATAATTACATGAAAACATTACGTCGGTAGTTCACTTTAACTGCATTCGGTTGCAAATGTCCATGGTACGGTATCCACTTACCATCAGGTGTCAGCTGCTAGCTCACTTATCATTTTAATATAGATTTCAAAGGGTATTAAAAAAGCTGCAGTAAAAATAGAATCCTGCGGTACAATTATTTAAAAAAAAGAAATTATATTAACAAAAATAAATATTATACCTATTCTCAGTTATTAAGGAAATGTATATTCCAAGCAAAAATACAAACAAATAACAAATACGTATCAAAAAGCAATAATATTAGTAAGGCTACATGGAAAGTAATACAGGAAGAAATTGACACTAGACCGCAGTATAATAATTATATGGATTCAATTGAATAGAAAAACAATGTTATAAATGATCCTACACAGATTGCGACTATTTTTAACAATTATTTTATTGAATTGACAAATAAAGAAAATGCAAACATAGTATGTGAAACTCCTAATGACATTTTAAATAATTCTGTTTATTTGACTCCCATTGACGAATATTATGTTAGGAAAATAATTTTATCACTGAATAATACAAATTAAGAAGGCTACGACGAGGTATCTACAAAGATTATCAAGGTATGTAATAAACAATTAGGTGCTGTTTTGGCGTTTCTGATAAATCAGTCAATAGTAACTGGGATATTTCCAGACACATTAAAATTCTCATTGATGAAGCCATTATTTAAAACGGGTAAAAACACTCGTAAGTAACTGCAGGCCCATTACGCTGGTCCCCATTCTATCCAAAGTGTGAGAAGGTTGTGCATGAAAAATTTACATCATTTTTTTGATAAATATTAGATACTCCAACACAATCAGTTTCGAAAAAGTAAATCTACTACACATGTGGTATATGACTTATTGAATGAGACCCTTACATAACTAAACGCCAAACAATATACGTCGGCACTCTTCTTTGATATGTCGAAAGCTATCGATTTTGTTGCTCATGATCAACTTCTAGCAAAGTTGGAGCAGTGCGGCGTTAGAGGCACTGCTTTGAACTGGATCAAAACATACTTGCAGAACAGAATGCAATCAGTCGAAATCGCAAAACTTGAGTCTAACCATGTAGCTGAAAATCACAGATCTGAGTTTAGGAAAAACGAGTTTGGCGTTCCACAAGGAAGTATGAGACTGACCTGAGACCTCTTCTCTTACTGATCTATATTAATAATCTTCCAAATGTGACCAAGTATCGATGTATCCTATTCGCTGATTATATATCTGTAATAGTGACAACTGATAACGAATTGACATTAAATGTTGTGGAAAAGAGCTATGCACACCATTAAGCATCATATTTAACAAATCCCTTACGAATGGAGTTTTTCCCAGTCGTTGGAAGATAGCACATATTGTACCCATTTTCAAAAACGGAGACAAGTCGCGCTGCGATAATTACAGACCCATAAGTATTTTGTCATGTTTCGCAAAGCTTTTCGAGTCCCAAGTACACACTCAGTTATACAGCCATTTTAAGCCTCTGATACCCGAAAATCAACATGGATTCATTAAGGGTAGATCAACTGTCACAAATCTTCTTGTATATAAAAACTACCTGTGCAAGGCTTTTGCCACAGGGGGTCAGGTTGACTCTATCTACACAGATTTCTCGAAGGCCTTCGATAAAGTGAGTCATAGACTACTTTGTAACAAGCTCGCCACCTGTGGTATTCACGGTAGTCTCCTTCGCTGGTTGGCCTCCTATTTGAATAAGAGAAGTCAGTTGGTGGCTTTGAGAGGATACACCTCGACCCCTACTGACATTACGTCAGGCGTGCCCCAGGGGTCACATCTGGGCCCGTTGTTATTTGTTGTCTTCATTAATGACCTCATTAAGAACATATCATGTGAATGTCTATTATACGCTGACGACCTGAAAATATTTAAAACAATAAACTCTTTCGAAGACTGTAATCTTTTACAGAAAGACTTAACTGCTGTTTCTCACTGGTGCAGAAATAATCTAATGTACCTTAATATAGACAAGTGTTTCGTTATTACGTTCACTAACAAGCGTAATGGGATCGTTAATGAGTACAGCATCAACGGCCAGACCCTTGAGAGGTCACATGTTGTCAAAGATCTCGGAATCCTTTTTGATGATAAGCTGACATTTCGCGAACACTACCACCACATAGTGAAAAAAGCGAATCAACTTCTGGGGTTTATTTTTAGATCTACTAAAGACTTCAAGGGCACTCATTCTTTTCTTTACCTTTTCACTACACTCGTCAGAAGCGTTTTGGAATACGGTAGTCCAATATGGTCTCCGCACTACAAAGTTCATATTGAAAATATAGAGAGAGTGCAGCGCAAATGCCTACGGATTTTAAGCTACCGCCAACAGTCGAGGCGCAAAACTCCTGATTATGAAGCTCGTCTCATTAATTTTAATGTACAAAAAATTGGAAACACGTCGAAGATATTTTGATTTCGTTTACTTTTATAAAATACTTCACTCCATATTAGACGTTCCTACCTTGCTCGCTGAGATAACTTTTAATATCAAATATAGTGCTCGTAGAGCAAATCAAATAGCACTTTTTACTTTACAAGTGTATCAGAATAATACCTCCTTTTACAACCCCCCTGGTTAGGATGGCTCGTCAGTGCAATGAAATAGCCAAGGGTAACCAAACCTTTGACGTTTTTCTACCTAAACTAACTCTTTATATTAATTTGATTAAAAGCATACTGTATCACAAGCCGACAGTCTAATCCCAGCGCTTGGACTCTCGGTCTCCTTATATTTTAACCCTATTATATTCTTATTTAGTATTGTTCATTGTACCTATTATTTAGATTACTGTTCTTGTTAAACCTTAAATTGTGTAGACATATTTAACTCCCTTGTAATTTTTCATGTACACACATTTTTGTGGAATGCAACCTAGTTTATAAATGATTGTTTTTGTATAATTTGTTTAGTAATAGTTGTAATCTGTTGTGTGTGATAATAAATAAATAAAAAAAAAAAAATAAATAAAAATGACCACAAAAATGACATTAGTGAAACTATAATTCAAATAATTAATTGGCTTAGAACTAATAATTTAATTATTAACATTGACAAAACGAATTTAATTAACTTTATTAATATACAAAATTTGACTTGAAAATACAATAACAACGAAATTCTCGGGTATAGAAATTGACCAAAAACTAGGTTGGAAACAACAAGTCGAAAAAGTGTGCAATAAATCAATAGTTTCGCGTTTGCAATCTATAAATTACAAAAATAGCAGTAAAAAGAACAGCCCTTACTGCGTACTTCACTTACGTTGAATCAGTCCTGCGATACGGACTCATTATATGGGGTAATAGCAAAGACATAAAAAAGCATTCATTGCAAATCCTTGAAAATTTTGACACTTCCTTGTCTATATATTTTTGAAGCGGCGAAATTTGTAAAGAACAATATGTATTATTTCACACAAGCCAAAGAGTTCTACAAACGAGGCACTAGAAATAGGAATAGGTTGGTTTCCACTATAATACCCAAGAGTGCGAGATTCCATAAAAATTGCTATTGGATGTGTATGCCAATATATTACAAGATACCACAAGTAATTCAAGACCTACCTTTCATTAAATTTAAAAGAGAATTATACAAATGGCTCAGTGAAAAGGCTTTTTATACTGTAGAGAAATATTTAAGCCACGATACGTAATAGCAACTAGACTGATATAAATTTACTGGACCAATTGTGAAATATTTATTAAGTACCTATTACCTACGCCGTGTAGTGGCGGTTAAGAATATCCACTACCACATATCTTCCCGTGGGTGTCGTAAAAGGCGACAGAGGGAAACAGGCAGGAGATGGGCAGCAGCATCTTCTTGATAACAGCAACTGTACGACAAAAAAAACTGCGGTTGCCAACCCGCTCGCCAAGCGTGGCCACTATGGCCATATACCCCCCATGAACAATTACACAAATAGACGGCCCCCAGTCCCCGGTGGCCTGGCTACGGTGGCGACCATGGTAACGGCGGCGCAGGGGGTGCTAAGAATCTCCGGTGGAGGTTCGGTTGCCACTTACGACGAATCAACCTGGCAACATTTAACGCACGCACCCTGGGGACTGACGAGAAGATCCTGGAGCTGGAAGAAGAGACAGACAAGTTGCGCTGGAACATTATAGGATTATCCGAGGTCCGAAGAGAGGGGGAGGACACGGTGATTCTCGAATCCGGCAACTTCTTCTATCACCGGGAGGGCGACCATCTGTCCCAAGGAGGTGTTGGATTTATCGTCCACAAGTCTCTGGTTAACAACGTTTTAAAGATTGGGAGTGTACGAGGGTTGCGTACCTTATACTCAGAATCATCCAACTGTATTCGCTGAAGGTCATACAGGTTTACGAGCCCACTTCGGAACATCCCAATGAGGAGGTGGAGGAAATGTATGAGGACATTTCTAGAGCCATGCATTCCTCCAAAACTCACTATACGATGTTAATGAGGAGACTTCAACGCAAAATTGGGCACAAGAAAGAACGGTGAGCTGAAGGTAGGGATATTTGGGATAGGGCAACGGAACCCAAGGGGCCAGCAGCTGGCTTCATTGATTCCTTCACTTCATGGAGAAAGAGGGACTTTTTATCATGAACTCTTTCTTCCAGAAGCGGCCCCACAGAAAGTGGACCTGGTCGAGCCCCGACGGTTCGACAAAAACGAGATTGACTTCATTATGACGACCAGACGCCAACTGTTCAGTGATGTCTCAGTGATCGCAAGGGTGAACACTGGCAGCGATCACCCAATGGTTAGAGGCACACTGAACCTAAACAATAAGTTGGAGAGGTCTCGTCTAATGCAGTCAACGCTCCGTCCCCCTCGTGCTCTAATACAGAATCCCGAAATCTTTCAGCTCGAGTTACAAAACCGCTTTCATTGCCTAGAAGATTGCAATGCAGTGGACAATATGAATGACAAGCTCGTGGAAACTGTCAATGCGGTCGGAGCTAAGTTCTGCAAGACCCGCCGCAGAAGAACACAAAAACTCTCCGATCACACTCTTAATCTCATGGCTGTTAGACGGGAGATGAGGCTGCAATCGTCAACAGATTTGACAGCATACAGGCAACTGAACAGACAGATCTCCAAATGCATGCGGCGAGACTTACGCAACTTTAATACTGCTCGTATAGAAGCGATCGAGCGTAACCAGGGCTCCTAAAGTCTTTGCCAGAGATCTGTCTGCCAGAAAAAGCCAACTGTCAAAGCTGAAGACTTAGTGTGGCAGCATCGTTTCCGGGACACCTGAGATTTTGAGTGAGATTGAGAGGTTCTATGGGCAGCTGTACACATCATCGTTGGAGCCACACGCAAGTATGAGTAACGATCCAAGAGCAAGTCTTATCCGACACTATTCCGATGATATCCCGGACGTCAGTCTGAGCGAGATTAGAATGGCTCTCCATCACCTTAAAAACGGCAGGGCCCCAGGCGAGGATGGAATTACAGCGGAGCTTCTGAAAGCGGGTGGAACACCGGTACTTGAAGTCCTTCAGAAGCTCTTCATCCACATGCCGTCCTCCATAGTGGCACTTCTCCAGAGGCGTGGAGCAGAAGTACGGTGTTCTTGGTCTTTAAGAAAGGCGACAAAGCTCTCTTGAAGAACTACAGAGCGATTTCCCTACTGAGCCGCGTCTACGTGCTGTTTTCGAGAGTCATTACGAATCGTCTCGCACGCAGACTCGACGACTTCCAGCCTCCCGAACAAGCCGGTTTCCGAAAAGGCTTCAGTACCATAGACCACATACCATAACACCCTGCGGAAAATTTTACAGAAGAACGAAGAGTACAATCTGCCACTTTGCCTGGCGTATGTGGACTATGAGAAAGCCTTTGATTCCGTCGAAATTTGGGCGGTGCTACAGTCCCTTCAGCGGTGCCAAGTTGACTGTCGGTATATCGAAGTGCTGAAGTGTTTGTACAGTAGGGCTACGATGGCTATCTGAGTACAGAACCAGAGCTCGAAACCTATCCAACTGCAGAGAGCTGTAAGACAGGGTGACGTTATATCCTCGAAACTCTTCACCGCTGCATTGGAAGACGTTTTCAAGCTACTGGACTGGAAAGGATACGGTATTAACATCAATGGCGAGTACATCACTCACCTTCGATTTGCCGACGATATAGTCCTTATGGCAGAATCGCTGGAGGACCTAAGCACTATGCTCAATGACCTCAATGGTGTCTCCCAACGGATAGGTCTTAAGATGAACATGAACAAAACAAAGATCATGATGTCCATGTCACACCTATGCCGGTAGTTGTTGGGAGCACTATGCTCGAAGTTGTTGACGAGTACGTTTACCTGGGACAAATAGTCCAACTAGGTAAGTCCAACTTCGACCGAGAGGTCAATCGACGGATTCAACTCGGCTGGGCAGCGTTCGGGGAAATTACGACATATCTTCTCGACAGGTATACCTCAATCTCTAAAAACTAGATTGTACAACCAGTGCGTGTTGCCAGTGATGACTTATGGATCTGAGACGTGGTCCTTCACTGCTGGCCGTATGAAGACGCTCAAGGTAGCTCAGCGAGCTATGGAGAGGGCTATGCTCGGAGTTTCTCTGCGTGATAGACTCAGAAATGAGGATATCCGCAGTAAAACTAGAGTGACTGACATAGCCCAACGGGTTAGTAAGCTGAAGTGGCAATGGGCCGGCCATATAGCTCGAACAACCGATAACCGATGGGGAAGAAAGGTTCTCGAGTGGTAGCCTCGTACCGGTAGGCGTAGTGTAGGGCGACCCCCCACTAGATGGAGTGACTACTTGGTAAGATATGCAGGAAGTCGATGGATGCAGGTGGCTCAGGAACGTGCTTTGTGGCATTACTTGGGGGAGGCCTATGTTCAGCAGTGGACTTGTGAAGGGCTGTAATGATGATGACCTATTACCTATTTATTGATTAATTGTTGACATTTCATTATTTTAGACATTTTACACATAAATATTATTATCTTATTATTTTATATATGTAAGATTTGCATGCCATTAATAATGGCTGATTAAGCGGATGTTTAATTAATATGACCATCTTCAGTGTACCTAAACCAAACGCAAATAAATATTTCATTTCATTTCATAATACAATAAGATCGGACTCCCGAACTTCTCTAAGATAAATATAAACGACAGTACGCTGGTTTTATCCGGCTCGGAAGGACCATATATGAATAATGAAATGATTTAATAGATAAATTAGCCAATTTATTGATAGCTAAAAATCACGTTATAAAAATGTATCAGCTATTGCTGGTCGGTCGTTTGTACAGAACTATGATTGATAAATCGATAACAATGTAATTTCATGTGTATGTGCGTACGTAGGCTCTTACTCGCAAATGCATCAAATTCGTAAAGTTATTTGTCTCCTTGAAGACAGGGATTTTTGTAAAATATTAGTGGAAAATTAAATCATACCAATAAAATTTCACCTTTATATCTTGATAATTGTGGTCAATCCTCTCTAATATAGAATGATTTTTTGAATTGTAGAGAGGAGGATCACCAAGATGTGTAAATTAACCGACCACAAAGTCTAGTCAAGCAAAGAAAAATCGTCTTAATTTAGATTCTATGTCGTAGAATTAGCAAACGACAATATAATACATTAAAATGTAATGGTATTGATAAAATTGAGTAATAAGACGGCAGACCGAATAGTTAAGAACACGGACTGCGAATGTCCAAAGACGTGGTTTCGTAGCATTTAAAACTTAGTTGGTGAAACCATACCTTGGAGCGTCGTTTCCGTGCGGTGGCGGCGGCGTCTGTAGAGGCGGAAGTGGAGGCTGAGGTGGGAGCGGAGACAGGCGCGGCTGCAGGCGCAAGGGTGGGTGCGGGGGCGGGCACTGCGGTGGGCACGGGGGTGGGCGCGATGGCAGGTGGCGGCGCGGCAGCCGCGTCAGGCGCGCTCGGGTCCGCACCCAACCGTGCCGCCAGCAGAGTCAGCAGCTCCTCAACGCGTCCTAGCTGCACACGCGACAGCACAATTGTTTAGCTATCTAATAAGTTTCATACCGAAGGTTGAAAGTTTTTTCCAGTCATCTAATGCAACCGCCAAGCGGTCTGTCCCCGCAAAGACCTCTTCCCCTGAGGATGCCTCATTTAGAGGCGTAACACGTGTCGTTGTACTATCGAAGGTGTAATGTGGATTGTGCACGCAATTGAGGGCGAGCGGGAGGCGAGTCTTCGAAGTAGGTGACAGGTGAGTAGGTACACATTATTTTATTTTATCACGCGGGTCTTAGCTAATTAATTTTTAACATCTTTAATGGATTTCCGCAAAATAACGCCTGATTCTATCTATTTTTTCTCTTCTCTTCTATTTATTTTATAATTCTTACCCTAATGAAAAATATTGTATTTACAATTTGGAATATTCATATACCTAACTTTTTCTGATGATCCTTTTCCGTATAAAAGTAAAAGTGACAAACGAGCTCATAGCCCACCTGATGGTAAGTGAATGCTGTAATCCAGAGAAACATAAATCTATCCTCGATTTAGAATTAAAATGCAGCAGTAAAGAGGGTCAGCGTTTCTCATCACTAGATCGAAACATAGCAGCTATTTATTATGCTCCTATTTCACGCTAGTGCTATATGCATAGGGGTATCTGGCCTCATCTGGCCATAAGTCGATTTTCCCAAAACAAGTAATTCGAGCAACTGACACTCATTTACGATATTATAATAAGCGGGGGATTTGAGTGTGGTAACACTTTTTTTTAAATCATTTGAGTACTATACGATCGATCAGTATCTGACAAGTCTCAAGAGTGTTTGCACGTGTTATTTTTTCATCGCTTTGTTTATGTTAATGAAAAATAACTTTGAACGGTCTTTTCGTGAAGTTTGTTTGTGTTTACTATGGATTGCGATCAGCCAGGTATGTAATTAGATTTTTATTGCTTTTTTCACTCTTTAACCTTTTTTTTTCAAGGAAGCCTCCTAAAAAGTATATTTTTTCCACTTTTACATAAATTTGAAGGTTTTTGTTATAGTGCTGGGTGTTTCCCTGTACCAGAATTGGTATATTTTGAAAGAATAGTTTCTGTATTTACGACGCATTCAAAGAACAACCGCAGAATACCGCAGATGTATTTTTTATGATGCTTTTTCTGGTATAAGTCATTAATCGTCTTAATTGTAGACATGTTATACGTGTATATATTATTGTTCCAACTTTGTTTCAGGGACCTCAGGACTTAAAATCCTGACAAGAAGACATCTTTACAACCTTACGAAGAAGTGTCCTGTGAAAGATTTCCTAAGCAAGCTCAATTTTATTGAAAACGATATATTGGGAAAGCAGTCATTTCCCAAAGAAGACATAAAGGACTTTAAACGAAAGTCCTCTTATATAAAGTCCGAAATGAAAAAGAGGTGGCTTGCTGCATACAAAGTTGAGAGTGTTTTTTTTTAAAAAAAACCGTGATTGGCTGGAAGGCACTATCGAAGTACCCACTCAGAAAAACTCAGTTGATCGACCTTCCAAATCCTTTGATGAGTCAAGCGAACGCAGCAAGCGGCGAAAGACACAGCAATTGAGGGAAACTGTGGATATCGGAAAACTGTTTTATGCCACACAAATGAAACTCCGAAATATTGAAGGTACAAAAGTTGTAAAAGATTTTAGAACAAGCCCTAAGAGAGCAGCAAAATATTTAAAAGCATTTACCTGCCACAGCTGCGAACATGATAAATCACAGCTGACACCATTAAAAGCCTTGATAATTATTTTGGAGACTAATTTGTCAAGGAAACTATTTTACTGTATGAAATTATACGGACGAGTGACAAAAAACTTTTTCCTTGTTATAGCATCATTCAAAAGGCTAAAAAGGAATGCTATCCTGCCCCAGAATCGTGTCAGGTGACTGCAACTAGTGCCAAAATTCAGCTTCAAGCTTTATTGGACCATGCAAGTAAGCGGTTAATAATATATTTGGAGGATATTTTAAATGTTTTGGCTGCTGATGACATTAATACTCTCGAACTAATATATAAATGGGGGTGTGATGGTTCGCAGCAATCAGAATTCAAACAAATATTTGAAAATAGCTGTGATTCTGATGCTAATATATTTCAATCATCATTAGTACATATCCGACTTATAAGTCGTAAAAATAAAACATTATACTTTGGCAAAATCCTATACACTCGTCACCTCGATATTGCCGGCCAATCAGGATAAGATTTTTACGTGAAGGCAGAGATATTACGGATGAAGAAATAACATAACATAACATAAAACACTCACGCCTGTCACCCAGAGGGGTAGGCAGAGACTACAGACTTCCATTTGGCACGATCCTGACACACCTCTCTCGCCTCCTTCACATCCATACACCTACGCATGCATGCTCGTCGGTTAAGGGTACTCCTAATTTGGCCCGTTTTCAATAAATCGCCAATTTGGTCGATAAATTTTCGCCTAGGACGTCCCTTTCCGACTCTGCCATTCACTTCTGCAACATAAATTTTCTTTGTCACTCTTTCCTCATCCATTCTTTCCACATGACCAAACCACCGAAGCATTTCTTTCTTAATCCTGGTCACAACATCATCTTGCAAACCACACTCTTCTCTTATCACACAATTTTTCACCCTGTCATTCAGATTCAGCCCTAACATACTCCTTAACGACCGCATTTCTACTGCATTTATTCTACTCTCGTGCTTCTTCTGCCATACCCAACTTTCACTACCATACGTTAAAGTAGGGACCAACACAGCATTGTGAATTGCCATACGTGCCTTTTTTTGACACATTTTGACTCTTCACAATAGAGTGCAGGGCTCCATTTACTCTGTTTCCTGCGTTCACTCGTCGTTCTATATCCTTATCATGTCTCCCATCCCTGCTAAATACGCAACCCAAATATACAAACTCATCTACTTGCTCGATCAACTCCCCTTCTATTCTTATTTCACATATCGTTTTACTTTCATCTCTTTCAAAAACCATAATTGTCGTCTTACTTGCGTTCACTTTCATACCCCTTTCTTTTAATGATCTGTTCATTAATGTAACCATCATTTGCAACTCAGCCGCCGACGACGCAAGAATAACTTGATCATCGGCGTACAAAAGGCATTTGATGGTTAACTCACCCATTCTTAATCCGCATTTTTCAACTTTCAAATTTTGCAAACAACTGTCCATAAATAGGTTGAACAACCACGGGGAAGCCACACAGCCCTGTCTGACACCTTTATGGATGCCAAACCAGTCCGAGTAGACCCCGTTGATCCTAACACAAGCACTAGAGTCCCTATAAAGAGATTCCAATGCCTGTATCAAGCCAGCGCTCAACCTAAATGAGTTCAGTGTTTGCCATAGCACATTCCTATCCACTCTGTCATAGGCCTTCTCCAAGTCCATGAACGCACAAAAAACCTTTTGGTTTTTGGCCAAAAACTTCTCCGCGATCATGCGCATGGAGAATACTTGATCTGTACCTATCTGACTTGATGAAGAAATACAATACATTAATAACCAAATTGAAAGTTTACGAGACACAAACATTTTACACATTGCTTCCTACTATGGTGGATGGGAAGGTCTGCAATGTAGCTACACAAACAACATCCACTCTGAGATGTTATATTTGTAAAGCGACCAGTAAAGATTTTAACTATCTTTCGAAATCAAAAAAAGAAGATGCAGAAACGCTCCAGGTTGGCCTGTCAATATTACATGCGAGAATTCGATTCTTTGAATTTTTGTTACATTTTTCATAAAAAATACCTTTTAAAACATGGCAAATACATTCACATGAGGACAAGAGAGCCCTTAAAGAAAGAAAATTAACTATACAACAGATTTTCAGAGAAGAACTAGGACTAATTGTTGACGTCCCTAGGGCAGGTTTTGGTACGACAAATGACGGCAATACAAGTAGGAGATTTTTCGTGTATTCAGAAGCATCAGCAGAAATAACTGGCTTGGATTTAAATCTTATCAACAGATTCAGTTATTCTTGAAGTTATTTCTTGTGGTCATAAGGTACACTTTGAAAAATTTGCCAATTATAATTCCGAAACCGCAACATTATACGTAGATCTTTATCCGTGGCACCCAATGTCTCCCATCGTGCATAAGATTTTACTACATGGACCTACTGTCATAAAACATGCTTTATTACCAATCGGTAATTTATCGGAAGAAGCAACTGAATCGCGAAACAAACACTTTAGATTGTATCGCCTGAATTTTGCAAGAAATTTTTCTAGAGAACAGTGCAATCGAGATGTTATTAATCGGCAACTACTTAGTTCAGATCCTTTACTAACAAGCTTGCAATCGACACAAACCGATAAAACCAAAAATGCCGTTTAGCAAAGAAACCTTAGAAATGCTACTTCCTTTTGAAGTGCCGAAATTCATTAATGCTGAGGGTGGAAATCAAGAAGATGAAATTGACGCAAATGATTCTGATAATGTATTTGATAATACTGATGACATTTCAGATGAACAGGATTGGAATTTGTCGCTTGAGTAGCTTACGTAATTTTTCCTGAAATAAAGTGTTATTTTCATTCATTCTTTTGCCTTTTTATTTTGCTGATTACGAACCTGAAGTCGAAATTGCAAAATTCAAAATGGCGGATCCAATACGGCGATATATCTCCATATATACTTTTGATAAAAATTGAATATATGGAGATATATCGCCATATTGGATTCGCCACTTTGAATTTTGTAATTTTGACTTCACATTCGTAATTAGCAACTCCAAAAACCCCATGATACTAAATTTTGTCTAAATCGGACATGTTTTTGAAATACAGATCCGCCATATTGGATCCGCCATTTTGCATTTTGTAATTTTGACTTCGGATTCGTAATCAGCGACTGCAAAAACCTAAATAGGAATAAGCTTTGAATTTCGGCCTGCTTTTTTACTTAAATACCCCACCGTCCTTCCATGTTCGAGCTGACATAATCGTGCTACACCTATGCTC